CTAGAAGCAATGGCCTCCAACCCAATAGCGATGGCCTCCAACCTAGATGCGATAGCCTGCAACCTAATGGTGATGGCCTCCAACCTAGATGCGATAGCCTGCAACCTAATGGTGATGGCCTCCAACCTAGAAGCAATGGCCTCCAACCCAATAGCGATGACCTCCAACCTAGATGCGATGGCCTGCAACCTAATGGTGATGGCCTCCAACCTAGAAGCGATGAGTCTCACTAGTCCTAGAAGAAAAGTTCAAGTCAAATGCGCCTCCACCATCCCTCCGTCGTTCTGGACGAAGCAAAGGTGTGGAGGTCGTGGCAGCCGAGAGCTCGGAGGTCCTGGAGGCGGGCTCGTTTGGTTTCTGGGTGTTCGTCCCAAAACAATTTGCAATATAGAAGAGAAGATCATGATTCATGATTCAGATGGTATGCCACATGTGCCACTCAGAATATGATGACTGATGAGTTTTTTTTCCAAAGTTGAAATGGAAACCCAAAAAAAAGAGAGCGAAAAGGAAGGTCAGTGGACCCAGATCCCTGACTAGTCCATGTATGAACTGGCCCTTGACGAGCCTCGGTTCCTGGTCGCAGGTAAGAAGGGAATTGGATCCTAACCATACTTTCTAGCGATGGCCTCCACCAGTCGTGGGCTTCTAACCCGGCGAAACGGCCTGGAACCGAAGTCAGGCACTCAAGAACAGTAATGACGAGGCCAAAAAAGCTGGGCTGAGGGAGGATCGACGAGCTGATGATTTGTCGATCTTCAGAGTGGTAGTTGGCGATCTGATGCGATCTTGTGATCTGATGTGATCAGGTGGGTTGGTGATGTGTTAAGTATCTTGTATGGTTAAGTTTGGTCTCTTTTCGAGAAGTTCTAGACTACACTTCCGGCCAATGGATGTCATTGCGGCATAGTGGGCTCTTGGATGTCTATGTTGCAGCAATTGGTGTTGGTGATTGACAAACCCATCTGAGTACCTATTTTTTGTGGGATTCACATATATAGATGATGTGTTTGTATCCTTAGGCATCTCTGGTGCAGCAGTTTGGTCGTACGAAGCGCTCCGAAGGATCGCCGATGCGCTGGATGATGGACGACAACCACGTCCTAGGGTTTCATGCATGTCCCATGGAACCTCGTCCATGTTTGGAAGGTTCATTAAGGTATACTTGGCTGGGAAAAATCATGTAGTCAGATCTTGGTTTTTCCAGTCGTCCCCACTAGGCACCAGCACAGGGGTGTTCACAACGTTGCAACCTTTGCGGTGCTTTGTTCCTTTTCGCAGAAAGCTCCTAAGCTTCTTGAGCCTGCAAACATGAGAGAATATATATGATTCACCAACGGATGATGTCGAAATTCGGGATGTTTCGGACACAGCTTCGGCCCAGGTCATGAATCCCTTCCAAAAGGTGCAGTCCTTCTATGCCCACAACGAGGTGACACATCCGGACACCCAAAAGATCTCAAGATCTGGAGCGGATCCCATGGAGGGTCTGAAGACTGGACTCTCAACCAGTTTCTTCGAAGATGGACAGGTGGAAACGAAGAAACACAAAAAGGTCCTGAAGCTTCTAGTAGCTCCTGGCCTTACTAGGAGCAAAGACGCTACGAACGGGGCTCCTGGCATTACTAGTAGCATTCTTACTAGTAACGCGCAGTTCACCAGCACGCGCCCCCCATCTTCCAGGAGGAGCGAATGCCTGAGCTCTTGGCACACCTCCGCGAGGGACACGATGCCCGGACACCGAACGAAGCGAAGAGAAGCCCAACCAAACGCCAAGCGGTGTGTGTGTTTTTCCTGTTACGTTCGTAGCTTCTTGTTACTAGTAGCCCCGTTCCCGTTCGTAGCGTGCCATGGCTCCTAGTAGTAAGGCCAGGAGCCCCAGGTAGCTTCTTGTTCCTAGTAGCTTCTTTGTGTGTGTTGTTTTCCTGTCCAAAGGTCACAAGATGGTGTTCTTCCAGGCTTTTTGTTGAGAGTTGGGAGAAGAAGACATGTCACTCCAGGTGGGAACCACCTGTTTACCTTTCTTTGTTTGAGTGCACTAGTGAGTAAATGGATGAGGAACCTATAAACCTTTTCTTAACGTTACTGTGCCCAGGAAGCAAAGGAGGGTGGAGGAAGCATGGCACACTTGCAGGCCTCGCATGATACATCTCACATGTCCTGTACAGTACGTGGTACGCGGGTGGGTGGGGGCAAAGGTGCGCACCCAAGCCGTTTCAAGCCTGGGGTCGTGATTTGAAGCGGAAACATGTGCCTTCGCGTCCGCAATTTGGCCAAGACATGGAAGTCGTACAGGGTTCCCTGTACTGACCACCTCGGGGGATGAGTCCGAAGCGGGGGGGGGTCGTTCTAGCAGTCCACGTAGCTTGATCTTCGTAGATCAACCAGTCGGTTTTTTCTGTGCCATGACCCACGGCCATGTGAGCATTGTGCTTTTTGTGCCCTTGTCTGGACGAAGATCATACTAGCTTTCTTGTTACTACTAGTAAGGCACTTGTTACTAGAAGCGATGCACTTGTTTCTACTAGCTTCTTGTTACTGTGGGGCTGTTGCATTGTGGGGTATCTCACGGTGTCGTCGTGTTTGGCCGTTTCTGGGTGCCCCCGGGCCCGTCGGAGCTGCTCGTTCGGTTTGGTGACCTCGATCGTTCCAGACGAAGCACTTTCCTGGCCCCCTCCGAATGGCTCCCGGTGTGACCTAGGTCGCCATTACGACTCGAGCCGGTACCGTGGGCATTTGCGATGTGGGTGCCAGGCGTGACAAGGGCCATCAAGGGCAGTAAAACCTTCACGGAAGCCGAAGAATGGCAACAGCAATGATAGCACAGATGTCGGAGAGGTGCTTCAAAACGTTGTTGATTGTTGGCAGCAAAGTGAATCTGGCGCGCAAGCACTCAATGATCACCACGAGGGGAAGAACATGGAAGAACATCATGTGAATCATGTACTTCTTTCCTTTGTTGCTTGGGATGAGTTTCGTCCCAGTCCTTTGGTGATTTTGTGCCGTCTCATTTAGCTGCATAATGCAGCAGATTAGCGAGCAAGTTTCTTCCATAGGCAGAAGATCCTTTGAAGGTCAGTTCTTACAATCTAGGAAGAATCCAAAGGTCCTTGAAACACAAGAGCTAGTCACCCCATGGGTCAGGCTCATCAAAGCTGCTCATGCCGAAGGCATCTCAGTCACTGGGCGATCGTTTGGGCGTTGAAGTTGCACAAACAAAACACCTGAGAACATCTTACAAAGCTACAACAGCTGGATCGCAAAATAGAAAAAGACTTGGGAAAACCGAAGTCAAAACCATAAAAAGAACGCCGCACGTTAAACACCGTACCATCGCATTTCCAAAAATGGATCCACACCGAACCACAAACACGCAAACCTCTTCGGTGCCTTCGTTTGTCTCTCCCAGGTCTCCAGCATCCCCGGGCCCTGCAGCATCACCGCAGCGCTGGCGGCGAGCGGTGTGGAGACCCACGAGACCGGCGGCGGAGCGGCGAAGTTAGCGCTACGAACGGAACAAGGACACTACTAGGGGCTCCTGGCCGTACTACTAGGAGCAAGAAGCTATTAGAAACAAGAATTAGAAATGGAACTAACATGTTAAAATTAAATACAATGTAATTGGAATTGGAACAAAAAGCTACTAGGACCTTTTCGCGCCCGCGCGCGCGGGGTAGGAGCAAGGACGCTACTGGCATCGCTACTAGTAATAATGGCATTACTACTGGGAGCCAGTAGCTACTAGTAGTCCTTTTGAGAGCCACCAGGGTGATGGTCGCGCGCGCGGAAAAAGAAACATCGGCTGGAAGTTCTTAGAACATCGCAAAAGTCAGCTGACCAAAAGAGGCAGTCCATCATGTCGAGATCACTGGTGTGTGTACTGAATATTTTATGTAGAAATTCTTTCCGACCTGCGAGTAAGAGTCGCGTTTGATCCAAAGACTTTTGGCTTTGAACAGTCCGTTCTCGCAAGTAGGTGAGCTCTTGCGTTTAGGCGAGCCATTGTCCAGCTGCAAAGAGTTTCAAAGCCAGTCCAAGAAGCCAAAGCAGCATTCCACAGCCAAAGAACGTTGGAAACCAGGGGGCGTGCGTTCACAGTCATGTTTCCCTTCCAGAACAGCAAGGACAAGAGCGACTCTCTTTCGAAGCACCGAAGTCCTGCAGCGGTCAGCGCTGTCTCGTCGTCGCCATGTGTTAAACACATCGGCGTAAGCGGCGCGGTCCAATGGAAGGCTAGAGGGTTGCGGTGTCTTCCAGGGTTTGCCGTGCCAAACGCAGGGCTTTCCGCTGTGGCTTGCACATGAAGACCTTACCAGCTATGCGGTACCCTTTCCTGATCCATTTTCCCGTTGAAAAGGAAGCTGAGGAACAACAAAGAGTTCCATTGCTTGCTATTCTGTTCATCAGTCACGGTATTCCTCCGAGATGGTATGTTCTGTTCAGTTCATTTTAGCTCCAAATCGGGTGGAGTGCTAGCGGAGATTCCGGTCATGTCAGATGGGCTTCCGTCGCAGAGGAAAGTCACAACACTCATTGACATGTTTCACCGATTGACAATGTTTGACTGATTGATGGGTGCTGCGGGGAGCAACAAGAATCGAAGAAACTACGTCAACCGATGTCATGCCCATCTCTTTGTGAGCAATTGATTTAAGAAACCTTCAGAGCGCTGCAGGTGCCCGCTCTGGGTGGCTGGAGGCACATTTGCAGTTGTGTTGATGAGATGTGTTGTTCTTTGAGACGAGAAAGCCTCACGAAGATGGATTGCAGCAGTTCCCAAAGTCTAGCAGTCATCTCCATTGGTCATCTCCATTGTTCTACCAGTTCTACCACCTTTCCTTCAAGACGAGCCTCCAAAACGATGGCAACCAGCCAATGAGACCATCAGGTCTTTGAAGATGGCACTTGGACCCGGAGGCACTGCATGGTACTGCATCACACACCGCGAGAGCCGCCAAACTTTTTTAAGGACAGAACTCCAGGCTGGATCTTCATCATATCATATATGCACACTGATCTGTCGTTCTTCCAACTATGTATCCAGGTAGCCTTAATCTCCTCGCATGTTATGAACACTTGTGCCCATGGCACCAACATGTGGCATCCACAGGTATCATAATGCGTTTGAAGACCTGGAAGTTTGGCCTCCGGTCTTTGTCCAGGTGGTGTGTTCTGCAGTCTGGGGTCCGGAAGCTTAGACCATCGGGGGCGTGATCGTTACTAGTAGCAATGGTCTCCAACCTACTAGCGATGGCCTCCAACCTACTATATAGATGGCCTCCAATCTGGCGATGGGCTCCAAGCTAAGAGCAATTCGCACCGTTGAAACAATCCTACAGGTTGAGGACTTCCAAACCCACAACCTCCAATCGCCAGTTGGAACGGTTTACAGTTACGACTATAGGTAGTTGATCGTCTTCGATCTCCTAACTTGCATTCTTGATCAAAGAGAACATCCTCGGCAAATGCTTTCGCAGCAGTCCGTCTTTAACAAACCCGAGAGTTTCACCTTTGAACGTTAAAGACGAATGCCCCCAATGATCAACCATTACCGCAGCTCTAGAAACAATCAATAGAAATGAGGACCTATCTTATTATTCCATGCTAATTCATGTATTCAAAGCAAGTCCAAGGAGCCTTTTAACTGCAACGACTTCACACTATTGGAGCTAGAATTACCGCTGCTGGCACCAGACTTGCCTTCAAGTTGATACTCACAGAAGGGTGTTAACTGTTTTAATTCCAATTACAAGACATGGATGCCCTGTATTGTTAATTCTTGTCACAACCTTCCTCAATCAGGAATGGGTAATTTGCGCTCAGGCTGCCTTCCTTAGATGTGGTAGCCGGCTCTAGAATTGCCGCAGTTATCCATGTCTAAAGTGAGGAAGACACCGGGTTTTTTGCAGGCCCGGCTCACGTGGAGTGAAAAAGGCGTGCTCATGCTCTGGGAATTGTCTACTGAAACAGTCGGCGCGGAGCCGCGATTTGGTTCCTGGGCAGAAGCCTTGCTCATGGCAAGAGGACAAGGACGACATGGTGGAGCTTTGATGCTGCCGCGCTTGACCTATGATGGGGTCGTGGGAGGAGCAGTACATCTTGATGAGGGTCAGACACCCAGTGCCATCTACGCCGCCAACGGGGCCACTGCTCCCACAAGTTCACAACCCGGTCGTCCAGTGTAATACGCCTGGCGGCACCTTGGAAAGGAATGGGATCAAGGAGTGATCATCAAGCAGCTGCTGAAGCCATGTACCGGGGTTCATGCAAGCACCAACCTCTTCTACGTCCGGCAATTGCCAGATTTCTTTTTCACCTTCTCCATGGACGACTACGGCGCACACAGGCTCCACCCGGTGAAGCTCACCTGCAAGTTCAACGCAAGTTCCTCAAGAAGGGCGCCTCCAAAGTGAAGCTCAATGTGAGGATGAAGAGCAGAATGTGAGGACGAAGAGCAGCAATCATTAAATTGGATCGCAAGAGAAGGGTGACCAGATGGATCAGCAGCAACGTCAAGAATATCCCAAACCTTCTTCCACGCTAGATGTTCGCAAGCTTGTCAATGGCCCTGGCAAGTCTCAAGAAGCAGGCGACCGCTACGACCCTTGACAGGGAACCAGCACGCGCACCAACACTGATCGCTTCAGACTGATGGACCCACCCAGAGGCCATTGCGATCGTCGAGCAAGAGCGCATTCAGGCAAGGGCGACCGGGCGGCTCTTGAGATCGCCACCATCCAAGAGAGCCTTGCAAAGATTTGATCAAGGTTGGAGCAGGCGAACTACAGCCCTGCAATGCCTACAAATCTTCTTCAAGGATTTCGGTACGCGCATCCAGGAGGAAGACGTGCAACTGGCAAGTGGACGTCGAGGTGACCGAAGAGTCAGCACCACACTCTCACCACGAGCAAAATCAAGTAATTTATCATCAGCCATTCGCAATTTCGCCGTGTAATCTTTGAGACATGCATGGCATAATCTTATGCCTCACGTGCACTGCGCTCCACTCTGAAGCAGCAAAAACCAGCACATCCAGCACAGCTTTCCGTGCTGCAGCGATGTTCTCTCCGACTTTCCCTTTCTCAGCCACAGCTGTTGGGAATGAACACGTCAACCACGAAGCAAGTTCCCGGCCGGACATAGCTATCAACAAGGTCAACCCAGGCACCTCACCGTCTCACCGTCAGGGCTCCAAAGGATCCGAATTCATCGTGCGCCGACGCTTCTTCGCCTCAGTGGCCTGTGGCTACCTTCACCCTCTTCAGCGATAGCGGGTGCTCTTCAGAGACAGGCGACCACCGTGAGCGACCATCGTGTTTTCCTTCATGTTCGGATCGGGGCCACTCGAACAGTCCGGAGTTTTTCCCACTTAAAATTCTAATGAAAACCAGCATCACCACTTGCCGGGCGCAGATGTGGCTCACTTCAAAAACATTAAGTTTCAGCAGCACTGGCATGGAGTTTCCTCTTTGAATGAAAGCCAAGGCGGCAAGTTCATGGAGATGCCAATCTATCCGTTTAAGACAACACTCGCATACATACAGCAACTTTTCTTCCTGTCAACAAGTTGGATGGTTCGGTTCGGCCAGTTGATGGCAACACGTTTTAGTGTTGTTTTGCGGGCCCGCCACAAAAATCAAAGAAAGGTTCCAGAGCCTTGTCACGTTTGGTTGGGCCTTGAAAATGTAATTGTTGTTTGTTGCATTCGTCATGTATAGCATTTTTTGATCCAAGGCAAAAGGACACCAACTTCACCAACTAAAAGGACGGCTTATGCAACATGGGTTTTGGATGTTTTTCGTTTTACATGGTCATCCCAGCCGTTATGTCCTCCACCGGCATAGTTACTGGCCCAATGTTTTACTACAAAAAGGTTGTTGCCCCATTGATGTCATTTGACGAAACACGTATGTTGGACACATGTTTCTTACCCAGAGCCCGGGTTTGTTGAATTATCCGACGTTTTGATTTTATTGTTTCACTCAAAACCAACTGGTTTTTCTCTCCCAGGATGTTTTTTTCCGCGGTTTCCTCGTGATTCCAGGTTTGCTGGAGATCACTCAGCACTCCAAGGCCGGTTTGGCAGATGCAACCCCCAAGGAATTTTTTAGGCCCGGAGAAAGGGGTTGGATTCCAGATGGGCCCAGATAGGTTTGGCACTTCTCTCAAAGGTGTACCAGAGTTGATCCCACGTCACGAACATGCACGCAGTGTCGTCAGACAGGCTGCCGTCAATGAAGAGGCGCCAGGACCGTCCGGAGTCCCAGAGGCTGTAGCACTGCGAGGGAAGGAAGACAACTGAAGAGGATCGCCTTTGGTGGTTCATGGCCAGCTGTTGCGGAGAAATCCCCTGAAGCCAAACCTTGGAAGGAAGTATTCAAGACTTCCCTAACTGGGTCAATGAATCATGTATGTGTGTTCTTCAGTATTAGTATTAGTCCCGACTCGCGATGGACCAGAAACCTCTTCAAATCGTTCAATCATGGCCCTTGTCACCCGGTCAAGCCCTCGATAGAAGGATCTTTCTCCTCGCGCCCAGGTTGCAGAAGGACTTCAGTTTTTCCCTCCAAGCGAGGAGCCTCGTCGCACTCGCCGTTGTCGAGTGCTTGTCGGGAGGAGGAGGCCTTACAGGAGGCCCTGCAGGAGGTCTTACAGGAGGTCTTACAGGTCCAGTTTTGGGTCGACTGTTGGGTTTGCTTGAGATGTTCTGGTTGATCTATTGAGTTGATTGAGTCGGCCTTCGAATGTTACGGCCTTTGGAGAGACCGTTGTGGGACGATTGTTTTTTTGTCCAAATTGCAAGTGATTGGTATGAATCAAAGACCAATGCGTATCGACATGAAAAACAAAAAACAACCAGGACCATCTCCCATTTGCAATCGCAAGAACAACAAACGGTCCCCACAAAACTACTAGGGGCTCCTGGCATCGCTACTAGGAGCAAGGACGCTCCTGGCCGTACTACTAGGAGCAATGTTCGCTACTAGGAGCAAAGGTCTTCGCAATTGCCTGAGGGAACAATGACCAGGTCCTCCTGCCAAAGCCTAGGTCACTCCGGCTGCGGACCCGTGGCTTGGGGCCCATCCGTCTTCGACGTCGGCCGAATGACATGGAAACTCCAGAACTGCTTACAGCAGCTATAGCTTCTTGCTCCTAGTAGTAATGCCAGGGACCCTAGTAGCTTCTAGTTACCCGTTTGTTTTTGTCACCCGAGCAAACAGAGATCAGCTTGGTCTTTTGGTGTTGACTTTGCGGGTTCTTCATGGTTCTTCAAGAATGAGCCCCGTGTTCAGTAGACGTTCTACGTTTCTTGGAAGACCCCACCGGCAATGCTTGATGCAGCACACCGGCAATGCTTCAGGGCCACTCAGAAAAACTTAAAAGCATATTCTGGACTCTAAACCTGCAACCCAAACAAGATAATCAGGAAGAAGTTTCCTGAACACGCTTTGGAGCACACGTTCAGCTCCTGTTGTCTTGCGATGTTTGGCCCAACAACTCGCCACGTCACTCCGTGGCGCAAAGCCCTGGACGCAGTCGCCGCCGAGGTTCTTCGCCACGTGCGACGCCAAGCGGGCGGACATTTGGATGAAGGCCCTGCAGTCGGCAGCCATGGAGGACGCACAACATGGTCCTCACGGCATGCGCACCATGCGCACGACAGCCAAGCATGAATCAAAGTGCCACAATGTGTAGACAGTGTAGACGCGCGGAAGAGGATTCAAAATCAAACATTCAAAACTAACATGACGCATGTGGTGCATTTGCCTAGGATGCTCCGGAACTTTGTTCAATTCTCAAGTTTGGATGTAGATGACCTGTGAGTCCTGCACATTCGATGGATACTGATCAGCTGAACTGGCCGTGCTACCAAAGAGCCGCTCTGTGAGGATACGCCCATCGACGACTTCAGTGACTACGAGGATGATATCGGTTTAGATGCTGAGATGCGTTGTTAACAAGTGCATCGCTACTAGGAACAAGTGAGACGCTAGTAGTAACAAGTGCCTTACCAGTAGTGACAATAAGAATTTAATTAGAAATGCAATTACTAACAAAGGAATCTACTAGGACCTTTTGTTTGGCTCTTTACACCAAGAAGCCTTTATTAATAGCTTCTTGTTACTGCTAGTAAGGCACTTGTTCCTAGTAGCGATGCACTTGTTTCTACTAGCTTCTTGTTACTAGCGTTGTTTTCTTCTTTGGCTCTTTACACCAAGAAGCCTTTGTTTTCGCTGGATCGAGTAGAGGCCCCCCTATAGAAACCATAGACTCATCCACTGCTGCTGAGTCTGGCTTACATGTTCGTTTGCTGGGGGGGCCTTGTGACTTTGCATATAGCACTTGAACCGATCCATGATTCCAAATCGCTTTGTGTAACTCGTACCATAGCCAGCTGTAGCCAGCGGGCCGCATGCTGCCCTTGGCCTCGATTTCGCGTGTGAGTCGTCAGGACAATGACCACGGGGGAAGGAGGCCTGGAAGCTCGGTGTGATGGAGGTGATGGCTCCAGGTTTTTTGGGGGGTTGCTGAAGCTCCGAGCGATGCTTCAGGTTCTTCGGCAACCAGGGCATGTGATCCGCTTGATTTCGTGTTCTTTGGGTGGTCAAAGGGGGAGATATCTGCCGTTGGCGTGTTCTCAGATCTGATGGATTCGAAGGCACCACGCCGGCGGCGCGGTGGGCAGAGCCCCGAGGTCCTCGATCTCCGAGCGCTTCGACGCGGACTGGAGCCAGCTTGGTCCCGCAGGCGCTCTCGGCCTGCGCAGTTGTTTTCAGAGAAGAAGATCCTGCTACACGACCTAACATTACTGATGGCCTCCAACCTAGTGGCAGAGAGCCTTCAGTGACCGAAGTTGATGCAAATAGCAACTTGTAGCAACACATGGTTGGAGGTACAGTGTCGAAGTGTAAGCAGATGAATGAGATATGTTTGGGAGGATATCGTTTGTAGCTGTTAGACTTTTAGACACGAGATTAGACATGCTGACTACATCCAAGTATTAAATTAGTATTGTCTCCAATCACATGCACGCGTAGCTTCCGTACACCAACCAGTATTGATGGTAGAGTAGAGTCTAAAGCATTATGAATCTAATCAGTGTTTGTCAATCCGACCTAACCACATGTTTGGAAGAAATTTGTATATAGAATCCATTTGTTGATTCCATCAGACCTTGATAATCTTTGGCTCCAAAGCTCAGGGCCTCGGTGAAGTAAGTTTGTTTTTCCATTGATCTCAGCGCGGTGCGTTTCCCCAAACAGTGTGGACACTAGGGGTTCTTACGGTAATAGAAAAGCAGCTGATGCTTAGATCGCTGAAGCGCGCGGGCGTGAACGGCTAATTCGTTGTTATTTACAGTACATTCATGCCTCTCGAAAGCCTCGAAGTGCATTTTGACTGTGCAGGCTTACAAAGTCTGGGTGCCCCGGGCGGGCGCTTCTAACGACCGGGCATCGTTGTGGTGTTGCGCGCATTTCTGGTCACTGTTCGTGGCAGGTGCAAGGGTGCTTTCTTGCTTCACAGTCGACTTTTCGTGACAGGTGCAAGGGATCGGAGCTGTTTTGCTTCGAGATGCAGTTTTCGTGGCAGGTGCAGCACTTTGGACATGGTGGTGATCGTCGAGGAGCTCACATTTCGTGACAGGTGCAGTGAATCGTGACTTTTGGACATGTGGCTCGTTTGCAGATTTCGTGGCAGGCACAGCACTTTGCGAACCTCGACGCGCAGAGTTCGTGACAGGCACGCACTTGGTGAACCTCGACGCGCAGAGTTCGTGACAGGCACAGCACTTTGTGAACCTCAACAGGCTCTGTGAAGGCGCAGGCGCAGCACTTTGTGCTCTCAGATGCTCTCTCTCACTCTCTCACTCTCACTCTCACCCACACTCGCACGCACTCACACTCACACTCACTCACTCTCCCACTCCCACTCACACTCACCACCGCCACCGTCACCACAATCCCCAACTTGATCACCACCATCACCTCTCTGGACCCCAACGCGTCTAGATCTCTAGACTTTCTGCTTCTAGACCTCACACACACACTGTTTGGGGTCTCTTGCCTGGGAAATTTTGTAGTAGCAAGGACGCTACGAGTAGCTCCTGGCATTGCTACTAGGAGCAAGGACGCTACTAGGAGCAAAGGGCATCGCTACTAGGAGCAAGTGCATTGCTATTAGTAGCTAATTTGCTACTAGGAACAAGAAGCTACTAGTAGCAAGGTGCATCGCTACTAGTAGCAAGAAGGTGGTAGGTTGGAGGCCATCGCTACCAGGGTGGAGGCCACTACCACTAGTAACAAGAAGCTACTAGCAACAATTTGTTATTAACATCCTTGCTCCGTTCGTAGCGATGCTCTGTGTTCCTAGTAGCGTCCTTGCTCCGTTCGTATCAGTCTCAGTCTTGGTGGATCGAGCCGAGCTCTCGCCCGCCATTCTCACCAAGGCGATCCAGCTCCAGTGGTGCCACCCTCTCGTGTGGGGATAGGGTGGATAGGAGGTCGATGCTGAAACCGCAGCGGGAGGTGGTAGACATGTCCGAAAGGACGGGTTTGGGCAGGTGGGTTTGCCTGTGGCAAACAAGGGGCCCATGTTGCTAGGACCTGATCCTGTTACATGAATCATCACGAAAGGTAGCCCTTTAGGGGATACCTTGAGTTTGTCTTGCGAAGCAAGTGTTGGGACGTCCGGGTCTAATAATTGATCGCTCAATTCAGACCCCCCCCCCCTGAAAAGTAGAGCCTACCTGTACAGGGTTCCACTCCAACAGCTGATATAGTGTGTCCATGCTTGACTGCTTCAAGGCTCAAAGAGCAAGAGGATAAGACTCTGCGCATAAAAGACACTAGCGGTCTGCACCTCTACCGTGTACGCCCTAGTCACTCTTTCAGTGGTAGCGGAGCAGTGATCCTGGAAGACCCAGGTGAGCTCCTTTCCTAGGCATAGACTTGCTAGTGGGCAAACAGCCATGGATTGGATAGACGACTGGGAAGAGCCTGATGCGGATGTGGCTTATGAGCCAGCAGCCTATGTGAATAGGCATGTGAGAAGAGAACCAGCAGCGATAGCTATGACAACACAGGTCACTACAAAGGTGCCCCCATCTTATGATGGAAAGACTTCATGGTTTTCCTATGAGGATGCCATAGACGATTGGTGTGATATCACCGAGCTGGAAGATGAGAAAAGAGGACCAGCATTGAGAAACAGATTAGAAGGAGAAGCAGCTGTATACAAGCGTGTTTTAGACAGAGATGCATTGAAGGCAAATGATCCACCAGGAGCCGGCGTAGAATATTTCAAACGAGTACTACGACCATATTTCGTGAAAGGATCAACCAATGTATTCCTGTATAGGTTCATGCAATTCGTGCGCTTCAATCGAGGATCAGCTGACATGATGAAATGGATGACAAGATTCCAGATTTTACTCCAAAGGCTTATGAGCAGTTGGATGTACATGTTAGAACCAGTCACTCAAGCACATCCACAAGTCCTAGCACAGATGCAGGCAGATGCAGCGTTGACTGGAGTAGCACCAACGGCAGAAAGGATTCAGGAAATCATGCAGACCATCAATGGCAATATGAGGACTTTTCATCAGAATGATTTTCCTCTAGGAGAGAATCTCATTGCCCTACTCATGCTGTCACTTGCAGATTTGTCTCAGGAACAGCGAAACACTTTGACTTCTTTGATGACTCATCGTGGCAGGGTCCTGCAGCAATACACCACAACAGAGTTGAGGACAGTGTTCATCGAGATGTTCTGCACGACAAAGACTTCAGTAGACAATCCCTTGATGCAGCCGACAGGTGCTGGAGGTAGAAGATCATTTCTCGTACTAGACGAAGGAGAACTCGATGGTACATTTGGCTATTGGGCCGAAGATGAAGAAGATGGAACAGAAGGATTTTTAGATGCCCTGGACGATGTCGTTTGGGTATATGATGATCAAAACTTCTCGTGGTTCCAAAGGAGATTCCAAGGAAGAAGAGCCAGAAAAGGCAAAGGAAAAGGTAGAAGAAAAGGAAAAGGCAAAGGAAGATCAGGCCGCAGATTCTTCAGACCTCGCGGAAAAGGAAAAGGAAAGAGACGAGGTAAAGGCCATTTTGCTGATGAGCAACAGACAACTTTTCCAGATGAATACCTTGAAGAGAATCCTTATGAGGACACGTGGGAGTCAAACCAAGGAGCATATGATGCCATTCTTGCCGAAGATATGAATGACTATCTTCAAGGAGAATATGATGATGCCAATGACTTTTGGCAACAGCTTGAAGAAGCATGGTTTTCCCACAAAGGAAAAGGAAAAGGCAAGAGAAAAGGCAAGAAAGGAAAAGGAAAAGATAAAGGAGATGGCAAACAAGATGCAAACTATGCAAATCCACAACAGCCACGTTCTTTACCTGCACCTTCAAGATCTTCACAAGCATCAGGAGGTCAACAAGGTTTCTTTGCACATTGTGTGACAGCAGCAGCTGAAGTCCATGACAGTGAGGTGGACTTGCTGTCAGGCATGATGACCTCATGTCAAGATGAAGCTGACTGTGCGGTCAACAATGGTGAGACGATCTTCAATGGCATGAGTGCCCCTGTGAGGTACTCTTTGTCAAAGGAGATGCTCACAAAGGCTCCTGATGGCTTTGCGCTTATGAGCGCTGAGGAAGAAGTGAAGGAGATGCAGGCCATTT